TTATGTCTAACAAAATGCGTTATGGAGACTCCTTTCACTACATGACATTTATGTAGTGTTTTTTCTCGAAGCAGCTGCAAGTAAGATCGTGGCTTTGTGGCAGGACACCTGCTTGCCACGCGAACGAACCCTTTCACTCCTCAGCGAGACCGAAAGTTTCATTCTTCGTTTTATTCGCTTCTTTACTTTCTCAATTTTCCTATCACCGAGGATTTTTCGCTCACAATTAACGGCACCGATGGCGGAATTTCTGCGACACGAGCTCTCTAACGCCATCGCGTCAAAACACGGCTCACGCGCGGCGCCGTAGCTGTCCGCCGCCACCACCGCCTGTAACCCTTATCGCAAAATAAGGAAAAAAAATATATTAGGCAGACATCACGTATCTGGCCCCGCCGCGGTGGTCTAGTGGCTTAAGTACTCGGCTGCTGACCCGCAGGGCGCGGGTTCAAATCCCGGCTGTGGCGGCTGCATTTCCGATGGAGGCGGAAATGTTGTAGGCCCGTGTGCTCAGATTTGGGTGCACGTTAAAGAACCCCAGGTGGTCTAAATTTCCGGAGCCCTCCACTACGGCGTCTCTCATAATCATATAGTGGTTTTGGGACGTTAAACCCCACATATCAATCATCAATCAACATCACGTATCTGAGAATTGACGCTATGCGAAACACGTGGAAGGAAGGTGACCGTGTTGCAATATCTTTTTTTTAGTGACACGTCATGAAACGGCGCTAAGTATATGTACAAACTGTTGCACGCGCAGACATATGTTGAAGAGTGTCAGATGTTTATATAACCAGTTGTTTGCAGTTGCGCAACGATGCCAAGTAGAACATGCGTATTAGCAACACCAGGAGCTGATATGAAGCACTGATGTTCGCAAGGATGCTTGCTCTGAACACTGATGCATATATGCCCCGCCGCGGTGGTCTAGTGGCTAAGGTACTCGGCTGCTGACCCGCAGGTCGCGGGTTCAAATCCCGGCTGCGGCGGCTGCATTTCCGATGGAGGCGGAAATGTTGTAGGCCCGTGTACTCAGATTTGGGCGCATGTTAAAGAACCCCAGGTGGTCAAGATTTCCGGAGCCCTCGACTACGGCGTCTCTCATAATCATATGGTGGTTTTGGGACGTTAAACCCCACATATCAATCAAACATGTGCATTGAGCACTACCTTTATTGTTCAACAACGCACAGAAGAAATCTCTCACCGGAACTACTTTGGAGGTCAAAATCGTAAGGACCACCATTTCGGGTATGTGCCACTGGTGGTTACGTGCTGCGAGGGACCCACAAGCCACGCCATAAGGAGCTTCGCCCCTAAAAATTGGGCCACCCTCAAGCTCCGCCTTCGAGCTTCGAGTTGGACACGGTAGCGAAATCCGGCCCCTGTTGCACCCTTCAACCGCTAAGTGCATACTTGTTAATATATTTTGTTACACACGCGCGCACACACACGCGCGCGCGCACCCAAACGCGCGTGATTTATTTATAGTAATGGTACAGGTTTTCTATCTATTTACATCACTTTTGAAACAACGTCATGAAAATATTGCACAGTTAATTATTGTCACAAGGTCCTCTATTATAAACTGCGCGTAGGCGTGAGACCTGTATTCGTGAATGGTCACATTCTGTCGTCCGTCTTACGTTAGTTATCTGGCAATTGTTTGACTTGTTCTTCTTAAGGCCTCTTCTGGAGACTTCTTCCGGCCAACCGCAACAAGCATCGCCTTATCAGGCGGTGAAATGGCAACTGCATCACTTCACTTCGTGAGAATGAAGAGGTAAATCTATGCGTGTGTTGTGGTTTGTTAAAATGGCATTTTCTTGAATGGGCATAAAGAGTCTCGCGATGCCTCACAGATGGCGGCACATTATTTAGCATTTGCTGATTCCCTGATGAACGCCTCTAGCAAATCATTATATGTTTGCCGCTAGATAGATATAGTTCTGTTTTTTTGTTGGTGTTTTAGTGTCTCAGTGGCTTCTAATGGCGAAAGCTGCACTATCCCGGCCTTTTTCGACGTAGTTTGATGGCCTCCCAAATGTGCCTACAAATATCCGAATGGCCTCGTTTTCATCGTGACACATGTCTAACAAAATGCGTTAAGGAGACTCTTTCCACTACATGACATCTATGTAGTATTTTTTCTCGAAGCAGCTGCAAGTAAGATCGTGCCTTTGTGGCAGGACACCTGCTTGCCACGCGAACGAACCCGTTCGTTTCTCAACGGGACCGAAAGTTTCATCCTTCGTTTTTTTCGCTTCTCTCTCAATTTTCCGCTCACCGACGACTTTTCGCTCACAACCAATGACACTGACGGCGGAATTTCTGCAAAACGAGCTCTCCAACGCCATCGCGTCAAAACTCGGCTCACGCGCGGCGCCATAGCTGTCCGCCTGTCCACCGCCACCGCCGCCGCCACCTGTAACCGCTATCGCAAAATAAGAAAAAAATATTAGGCAGATATCACGTACCTGAGAATCGACGCTATGCGAAGCACGCGGAAGGAAGGTGACCGTGTTGCAATATTTTTTTTGAGCCACACGTCATGAAACGACGCTAAGTGTATGTACAAACTGTTGCACGCGCAGACATATGTTGAAGAGTTGCAGATGTTTATATAACCAATTGTTTGCACTTGCGCAACAATGCCAAGTATAACATGCGTATTAGCAACACCAGAAGCTGATATGAAGCACTCATGCTCGCAAGGATGCTGGCTCTGAACACTGCTGCATAAATCAACTTCAGCGCATGGCAACTAACTACAATTGACGTAAACCCGACCTGATGGCTGTATCAAAGCCGTACATATGTAATGTTTATAAATTGGGTAGGCAGCAGTGCAACCATTAATGACGTTTCACGAATATTAGCGCCTGTTTGAAAAGTAGTTCCGAGACCTGGCGTAGCTCTGTGGTAAAATGCTTCATTGCCACGCAAAATTCTTGGGTTCGATTCCAGCTGGGACCCTGACACTTTATTATTTGCATTCGTCGGGTCGACGCTGTGATGTCGGGTATTTCTTAACGCTCGTGCGTTAAAATTGCCATGTGTCTTAACGTCGTTCCTGGGTAGATACGAAGTGTCAATCACCTGTGGCAGTTATCGAGATACCAGCGGCACATAACCGCCTGTGGGTATGTGCCACTGTCTGGTGGGAATTGTTTGATGACGTACGCGACCGGGTTGTGATATTAGAGAGTTATAGTATACCGGGCTTACCGGGTTACCGGGTGTAACCTGATACCGGAATCGTAGTGCGCATGCGCAGATACGTACGTCACCCTTACCGCTTCCCGTACGCGCGGTATTTTTAAGATTTCACGTTACCGTGGTAGCGTAGATGCGCGTAGTGTACGTAAACATGGCGGCGCTCTTGGACGCGCACTTCGAAGTGATTTTGGCGTAGTTGTTGAAAGATTCACCGTGTTCGCAGCAGACAACTGTTAGCTTCGGTGACCAAGTATTACAGACACGTTGGCGCAGTTTTTGAGATAGCTTTTCATTTCGAACGCGTCTAGGCCTAACTACAAGGTCAATGTAAACAAATCGGCAACATAGATGTTGTCGCGTTTGGTGCGTGGTTCATATTTATTTACTTTTATTATCACTAAAATGAACTTTAACAATGCTACGCGCGGTGGCATAGGCAAACATTCTCGTTTTCTTTTCAATTTCACTGCTTAATTTATTAACCATCAAATAGATGGCGCCACCATCCAAGCTGGGTCACGTAAACCATGTAAATGCTATCCCGCTAAACTATAAGACGCTGCCCACAACGAACGTTTGCTGCACAGTAACGCCATTTCCTTAACCTACGCTATCACGCTAATGCTGAACTATAACTGTCTACTAATCATGTCTTGACCAGTGTGTCATATTCGTCAAACCATCTCACCCAACCATGCTAATTTTGGTTCACACCAAGTTAATGGGGTGACCACGAGAGCACCCAAACGTAAGCGGCTAGATAGTTAGATACGCTAAAAGTCGCCGAAGTTCGCTAAGAAATGCTTCGCATTTAAAATACTACCAAGAACACAGTAGAGCTCTAACCCGGGTCCACTGTGTTTCAGCCCAGTATTCTACCACTGAGCCACGCCGGTGCTTCGGAACGGTTCGCAAACTTGCCTTATGCAGGCTTGATCTCGGGAAAGGAATCGTGTTAATATGAGTAATAAAGCGATTTAGAACATCAAAAAAACAACGAGGCGTCACACAGTGCAGATAGCGTAGCGAGTGGGTAGTCCTATGCTCCAACCAATTACAAAAGCTTGTTTTTGATCACCTAATAAGTGTGACGCCTACCCACTTCAGGCATAATTCATCATCGCCGTCAGCCACTGCATGAACAATTGGCACAAAATTATTTGCAAGTGTTAAGCGGACACAACGCTTCTCAGAAGAATGACAAAGATAACGTAGCTAATGCTGGTCTACTACCCAGAACTTATTATTATTAATGGCGTAGTGCGTACCCAGCAAGTCTGCTTGCAGGAGTTACCCCATGAGTGTTTAAAAAAGGCTCTGGAAGGCCGCTTTTCCAGCTTTCACTGTGACTGTGCTGCGCCTTCCACGCAGGCTTGGCGTTTTTTTTTTTTTTCAAATTGTAAGATGCCTTAAAGCTCGACACAAGCGCCACCATGCCACAACGGCTCATTCACTTCAACGTTCCTGCATTATTCACCTATAAACCAATTTATTTCTAGTAATGTGATTGCTAACCTAACGCATAAAAACATTACACTCAGCGTGTGGTAGTAATTTTGTTTGTTTGAAAATATTTGCTTTTACTTTAGATTTTTCTGCACAAGAAGTTAAAAGACGTCATCTTTAAAAGTGCCAGCTTTTATTTACTCATACAAATTATGTCAACAATACTTCACAGCGATGTGACCAGTGCGTTTCTTTACAGGATGTCAGCCCCAAGAAATTCATTATCGCCAGTGAATCATACGATGCGAGAACAAGCAAAAGTACATTAACCCTGTGCTCTCTTTATCCACTTGGTGCACGACAACACTGCCGGTCATTATTCATCACTAGGATCCCAATAAGGAATGAATGCATTAACGACGACGGAGTGCGTGATTAGCGGAAAGCCAGCTTTCGTATCCAACATGGCGGCCGTAGGCACCAGGTCTGTAACCTGCACCATAACCAGTGGCAGTGGAGACATGGGGAGATTGGCCGCCATAGGCGAGTTCATCCGAGCCGCTGGGATTGCCCCCGTAACGCCCGTAAGGGGTGAAGCCAAAGGGTCTCGCAGCGCCTGCGTAGAGATTGTATCCGTATCCGCTGAAACCAGCATAGCCCCCTGCTAAGTATTCTGCTGCCGGCTGTGAGCCGTAAGGTGCAGGTGCCGGACTCTGTCCCGAACTTGATGGAACTGGTGGGACTACCGGTGCAGCGTTGAACACCGCGTCTGCGCTTGCACCAGGTACGGTGCCCGGCTCGTTGGTGTCCACAGTGGCTCGGAAGCCATACGCGTCGGCCACGTAGTTCACTCGTCGAAAGAGGCCGTTCGCGTCTCTATAGCCGTAAGAGCCGGTCTTGGCGTTGTTGGAGTCACCCTGCTCGTTGTGGAACTGCCGGTTACCGTATTGGTCGGCATTGTTGTAGCCAAAGTTGTACGGCTGAGGCGGCTGCGAAAGAGAAGCAATTTTGACGCATATCTGCAAAGCACAGTGGTCTGTAGCAAATATCTTTACAAGTACACAAACACATAGGTTCAATATATACTTTGCAGACGAGCGAGACCGGCAATTATTTCACAACACCACCTTACCTTCGGAACAATCTTTCTAGCAAAATGTTCATGCATTGTAAAGGCATTGCTATTGCTCAGAGGAACACGTGACGTAAGCGTTGTCGGAATATGAGTGTGAAGTTAGGAAAGTGTTACTGGTTGCGTTCACCTCTGAACATTCGTAGGGCCACAGACCTGATACACACATAGTCTTTAAAACTTCAAGCTCTTTACAACAATTCAAAACAACGAAATTGGAACTCACAGATGCATAAGCCTCGTATTCCCCGTAAGAAGCGGCCACGCTAGAATCGGCGTAGCCGGTGTATCCTGCATCTAGGTAGCCAGCTTGGTTCGACTGGTGGTTATGAAGTGCGTCGCATTCAACGACCAGGTAGACGAACAACACTTGCACCTGCATTATGAGGAAACGCGTGTGTTTCGTTTGTTCAAAGTTTAGTGTTACATCGTCAATGGACACGAAATAAAGTAAACTGGTTAGATTCACGCTCATTGCTTCCTGTTAATGTTTCAGCGAGACGGAAAGTACAGATATCAGTATGATTGTGATTTTCCTCTTCTCTGTGATCAAGCTAACTCTAGGCACTCTATTAATTACAGGTTGTTCTACGAAAACCGTAAAAGTGCCCTAGAAGATTTATGCACCACTATTAGTTATATCTTTACATTTTGTTCACTTTAAAAGTCATTTAAAAGTGAAGAATATTCATAAGCACGATTGTACGTACCCTTCTATAATGTTGATGTATCACGTGCAACTAGGCAAGGAAGAACTGAATGTAATTGATACATTCTGTCCAATACAGTGGGCGAAGGCCTAGAACTCAGAAAATTCAACGTAATAACACGAATACCATTGTGATTTCACTCACCACAAGAAACATTGGTAAGATTTAGAGAATCCTGAACCTAGAAATGGGAGCTAGTCTTCACTGAGCGATGTCTAGGCGAAAGTGAATGCCTTCTGCTTGTTTCATCTGGGAAGCAGCCGAGCTTTATACTCTTGCAAGCGACACCTGTCTGAAGTCCTTGAATGTGCGTGACACGCCATTGCGGCAGGCTTTGTAGCTTCGCAGTGCACGCCTTGCTCTTGGCATCTTGCAAAACGAGAATGTCACGTCATACCGCTAAGCGAGAAAGAGTGCGTTTTTGCGTAACTGTCGTGCAGACCATGTTTCGCGTGCAAACTTCTGCGCCAGATGAACGCCCACCTTGGAAGAAGTTATTCATATAATCACAAGTAAAAGATGGTCAACTCAACAGTCAAAATTTTTACTGATAAGTTGCTGTTTTTTTCTATTTTTACGTTTTAGTATTGGCGCGAACATATAAGGTACAGTGAAGTAATCGCTTTTAATGCGAAGAAAAACTATTGCAAAACTTAATAGCAGCGTTGGTGGTTTTTTCGATATACATTAATGCCTTACAAATCACTTAGCACTATTGACGGATTTCAGAAGGCCGGGCCGATAATAAAAAGGTTGCTCTCCAGTGAAGCTTCGCGAAAGCGTGTCGTACAGGTCGAAGCCATGATAACAGTTCACATCCCACATCAACGTTTTCTACAAATCCTAGATCTGACAATTGTCGTCGTAACATATCACAACAGGTGTCCTGCCACCGAGCTCAAAAACGTTGGTTCAACCAGCGCCCACGGTGGTGGCATGTAAATAGTGGTGAAATGGAAGCAATATTTCTGTATGTGGGTCAACTTGCGTGGTCAAAAAGCAGATGTGCTGCAACTCGCTTCGGAATCACCCACTAAGGTATGCCTCCTAACCATATTGTTTTTTTTTACTCACAAAATTCTGCAAGTTACTATTTTGTCTGCAAAGTGATAACGTGACCAATATATATGTTTGTTCAGTTGTCCTCAGTTGTTCCGTCAATTATGAGAAGGAGCCTGTGAGATGGGCATAAGGCTTACGTCATCGGGCTCGAAGCATCATTTGTGTAATTGAGATGTCTCCTTATCGTGACCATGTCATCATGGCTACATCTTAATTTGCCAAAGTATCCGTGAAATTATCCCGATAACAATGCTGTGGAAGAGACACGAATCTTTATGATACAATCCCAGTATTAGTGGTAGTTGTGAAGCTCCCGACTATGTTTACGCGAATTATCATATCTTGACACTTGCTCATTAGGTCCAATAAGTTTACATAACCTGACCGTAGCGCTGTAATGGCTATTAGAACTTTTCATTGTGAGTGTACATACTAAAGTTACTTTTAGGTGACAAAGCAATGCTTTAATCATGATATATTTATTACAGAAGCACACAGGGGAATAATACACGTTCCGCATAAGGAAAGCGTCCGTCCACTTTCGCATCGCACAGGTGCTACATATGGTAGGGACAGCAGGTGCATCGTCTGGAAGGTAACATTTGTGCCTTCACGTTATGCTGGGATGGATGAACGTGGTTCTGCATTCGGAGCTTAGTTTTCAGAAACTTCGCGAAGTCGATGGTGCCATTCCAAGCTATCTGAAGAAAACGTTACTTTTACAAAGATCTATTGGCTGGGCACAGGTATAGTACTGCAAAATTTTCGTATCGGCGACTACAATGACAATCCGTTTGATTCGTATATCATTCATCAGTAAACTACCACAGCACCCGAGTTTATAAAATAAATGAGTGGGGATGCTCTTATATTGTAGTGAATTTTATAACGTGCAAAATTGGGGTTGGAGTGGCCATGAATGCAAATATTTTCTATAAATTTCCGTTATGTGCCATCGTGCATAACTGAGGAATGCTTACAAGATATTTGAACATGCACGCTTGAAATTTTTTTTCTCAATTTCAACTGTTGAAGATCAGTTCAAGAGGGGGTAGCATTCAAAATTGTTTTTATCCATAACAGTTTTGATAGAAGAAGCGGGAAAGAAAGAAGAAAACAATGCGTTAGGGTTACAGGAGAGCTAGCGCTTGCTGGGCAGCAAAGTCACTTGTGCGCTACGGATGCTTTAGCGCCACTTTCACCAGCGCCTTCGCTTTGTTTCAGACCTGTCATTAGTTTGACAAATAAACAGCTTTCTGCTTCACTCTACATAATCGGGCACCTTATTTCATGTGCTCTGGGGCTTCGTTGATCGCCTTCCATAATAGTATGTTCATCATCGAGACATGCATCGTACATGTCTTGCGAAAAACTTGCCTTGCATTCCCGTACTTTGTAAAGATGCGGTATTTGACATTCCAGTTCGGGAAAAGAACAATATGCTAGACTTTGGTCTTCGTAATCAGAAAGCCTCACACTGTAATTTTAGCATGAAGCAGGACCGAGACAATTTTAAGACACCACAAAAGGGGTCCTTTTTGTTACATTGGTATGCAGTGCAATGCGCTCTTCAATCACCAGAGTCAGCCAACACGTATAAAGTAAAGTTTTATTTTAAGGATATTTGTCCCTGAGCATCACCAAGCCCTACCCTTTCGCCATGTAGATTATTCCAAGAAGGCATCACAGTTCCACTGAGTTTGCGAACCCTGCGTCGGGCATGCAGCCTAAATCGCAGATTAATGGTGTGCCGGTCGTACACCGCCAGTTGCGGTCTCCCCGCGAAGCCGTTCTCCGATGCCACGTCATCAAGAAACCGCCTCCCCGATACTGAAACCACAGTGTTTCTTTTTTTTAATATGAAACATTTCTTATCGAAGTTATGCGACTTTGACAATATCTATTTAACTAGCCACCTACGACTTCTTTCTCCTCCGGTCATTTCGATATTGACATCTATATCAAAATTGGCATGGCATAACGTGACTCTATCACAAGCATAAGTGACTAGTCATAGCATGAAAAGCATAACATGTGTGTAGTGAATATCATAATTTTGATTTCATGGTCTTGCTGCTTTTTTAGTGGTTTCGTTCACATGACATATTGCAAGATTGGTATGGTATGACATGACTGCATGGTGAACTAAGTGATAGACCGTAACGTGGAAACCATTAAATGCGTGTCATGTAAGAAGAGGACTACATGCTACGTTAATGATGCGCTCGCAGCCGTTTCGTTAGCTTCACATATAATAAACTTTGTATTACGTGACGCGAACGGACTACGAACAAAAATGACACGTCCGAACATGATAATCATGACATTAGTGTCATGTAAAAGAAGACTACATGCTAAGCTCATAGTGTGCTCGTGGCCGTTTCGCTAGCTTCGCAAATACCAAATATGGTATTACGTGACGTGAATGGACGACGAACACAAATACCAGGCACAAACATAATAATGGGGACATGGATGTCATGTATGGCATAGTTGACGTCTGCCTCGTTACGCTTTGCAGACTTTTGAGTGACATATCAACCTTCCTCATTTGTGCTTCGCATATCATTGATTTCCACAGCACGTGGAATCTGACATTTCTTTTTTTAGGTGCTCGTATTGTAAATATATTCAATGTATTCCCAGGCATCATAATACCTTACTCTGGATTCTCAAGAGAAGCGTTTTCATTTAGAGCGACGGTACGAAAATACCTGAAGTTTGTGTCAGTACAACTCATTAGCATTCGCTAACCTCTTGAAATATGTCAGTAAATTATCAGCATGATTTTCCGAGTTCAGGTTTTGAACTTGTTCGTCGTTCAACTTGAAGTGTTACAAGTTATAGATTACTCTATTTTTTAAACATTAGACACTTCATCCTATTTTAAGGATCAAGCAGCTTTATGAATCCTCATATTAAATGTTCAACGCAAACCTCATATCTACCCAACCTATTTTCATCTACGAGAGGAGAGGTTTTTGTAATATCTGAGAGAATTGTTACCAGATAAATAAGAGGTTTCAATCGCATCGAAATAAAATATTGAATTAAACTTAATGAGCCCGTTCACTATTTGCACTAGGTCATACACGCAATAGAGACAGGGCTCTTCTCCCATATTGTCACACAAATAGAGAGAAAGGCATCCCGTCCCCAAAAGCAAGAAACCACTTCTAGGAAAAGTTTTCAAGATGGCCAAAAGTGGCCACGGTGCCTTCAAAGTCAAAGGGAAAAAGGAAGAATAAATACTTTGTCAAAGAACTGCTTGCTCGAAGCGACGGGTGAAATTGAGAAACCTCTGGCGGGGAAGCTCAGCAGACTTTCCAATAGCAGTGCAATTTTCTCGATGCAGTCAGTTCACATCAGACAGTTTTTTGCGCACTAATCAAACACTGCATTCTTTCCAAGCTTATTTAATCACGTCTGAACGCTTACCCAATGGTGATCGGAATCTCTTTCTTAGGTGTTTCCCTTTCGCTTCTGTCCGACGCCTCATTGAGAGACCGACAAGACGGCAAGAAGATGGGCCGCAGTGTAAAAGAAGGCATCCACCGGTGGCTGCTATGTTTACAAAAAGTGGCCTCTAAGCAGGTGTAATATT